GTCCAGGGCTAGAATCCCATATGCTTCTTTGTTATCTAATTTTGTTTTAATTTTGCCTTTTTAAGCTCTAAAGTAATTTAAAAGTGACATATATTCAAACTTTATCTTGTTTCAACTACTTAAATACTCCCTCCGTCCCTAATAACTTTGCCAAGTTTGCTCGGCACGTGGAATAATAAAGTAAAAACTGTGTGGTTGAGATTTGTGCAGAGGAGAGAGAATAAAATGGAACCACAAATTCTTTACTTAAAAGGGAAAGTGACAAAGTTAGTGAGACATCCAAAAAAGGAAAGTTGGCAAAGTTATAAGGGACGGAGGGAGTATAATGCCAAGTATCTTGATAAAGTAATTTGTGTGATTTTAAATCAATCTTACTTTATTTTTACTTTAATAATTGTGGTACTCTCTTCCGTACCAATATTGGTGGAACGGATGTAGTAAATGTGTATGATACATTGATCCCATAGGGAAGTATCTGATAGGAAGTCTATGCATGCACATGTCCAATATAACTATACAAGTGCTTCATACGAGTTCGCTTAGGAGTCAATTGTGTATGTTACTTTTTATTTGAATTAAAGATTTAGAAGCTATAAATAATACACCTGAATTGTTGCCATTGACTTCTAAATTATTATTATTATTTTTATTATTATTATTATTATCATGATTATTATTATGATTATTATTACTATTATTATTATTATTAGTCTTATTATTATCATTATTATTATTATTATTATTATTATTATTTGATTTTATTGTTTTTATTATTATTTATTACTATTATTATTATTACTATTATTATTATTGTTATTATTATTGTTATTATTATTATTATTACTAATATTATTATTATTGTTATTATTATTGTTTTTGTTATTATTATCGTTATTATTGTTGTTATTATTATTATTATTATTGATGTTGTTGTTGTTGTTGTTATTAGTATTAGTATTATTATTAGTAGTATTATTTTTGTTGTTGTTATGAGTTTAGCTGCTCAGCAACATTAGTTATGATGATCTGTTGGTTATTCAACAACCCTTTATAACTGTGCATGTTCTTTGGGGCCTAAAGGCCAAAACCCTCCCAAAGACTAAAACCGCGTGATTCCAGCCTTTTAGCCAACCCACAAAGGTGTTGAGAATGGAAAATCGTTCTGCACCTTTGAATGATTTTCCAAAGGATCGAAAGTAAATTTACTTTTATGATACTTTTTTTAGTAAAACGTAAAACGACTTAAGTAAAGGATTGAAAATTGTAGAAGAATCTCTTTGACAATTTTCCTTGATAATAATGTAAGATAAACTCAAGGTAGTCATCATGTAATAAAACATAAGGAGTACTAGGTAGAATAAATAATATAAGAGGGGGGCACTACACTTAAAAACTAAGCAGGAAATGATGGAGAAAACATAGGAAAGTGCAGAATAAATGTAGAAAAAATGAGTATTAATACATGTTAGGCTAACAAAATAGTAAAATGTATCTATCAAAAATCAAACAAATGAATTATCTACCTTATTTACACATGCACAAAAGGGACATATGCATAAATATCACATATTCCACATAATTTGAAGCTATAAAAAATTGAGTGGATATCATACATATTTACACATGCACAAAAGGGACAATGCACAAAAGCGACACATGCACAAAAAAACGAGTTCACTAATTTTAGTTTTTAAGCTATAAAAAATAATGGGGATCATTCAAAGATTAAGCGGAAATAAATTTGTAAGAAAAGTAAAAACCGATCTGTGTGTTAGCTGAAAACTATATGTGAAGGTAGTTACAATGATATAACTTGACATATTACGTATTATCAAACTCATAGTGTGCATTTTATTTTGTTTCATATGACTTGTTGAGACCATTCAATTATAATCGTGATAACATTAATGAGCTTGGGAATATTACATTAGCTAATCAGCTAAATTTATGCTCTGTCGAAGTTTACATTTGTAAAATACAAGCATTGCAAATATTTTAGTGACAGGGAAATAGCCTTCGAGCAAAAAAAAATTAAAATGCAATCCAACTCATTAACCAATGGAAACAACTCTGTGAAGAAGGTTGAAATAGTTTCGTAGAGCATAGGATACTTTAGAAATTGCTCATCATAATATTGAGAAGGGAGCCGGACAAAACGACCTTCAAATCCCATTGTGTATTTGAAATTGTGAAAAGTTAAAATTTGAATGTAAAATTAAAAATTATAAGAGATGGTACATCTCGATGTGTGAATCGTATGATGCTCTGGTTGGAAAATGTATTCAAATCAAGAAAAAAAATCGACACAAAAATTAAACACTAAAAAAATTCAAATATGTTGCAGTCGAATAGTCGAACAAAAATGATAAACATATACGGAGTAGATGATATTCCTGGAGTAAGTGCCATTAAACACAAGTAAGTGTGGTATTCAAAGTTAACATCATTAGTTGTAGAATTGGACGGTGAGGTCAATAATTTGATAGACAGTCCATACGAGACACTATGATAGCACATGGTACTACACTTTAAAGCCTAACTATGACAAACCATGAACATTTAATATCACAAATTGGCCTTTATAAGATAGGTTAAGATTATTTTAATATTTGATGATTAATTTGGTATTTAAGTGTTAATGATGGTGCCGTATTGCCCTTTCAGTCTTGTCTCAATGAAAAAGTATAAGTTTTGTTATGCTAAGTCCATAAGAGTGGGGGTTGGTAAGTGTGGAACTCGGACAAAGCTACGAGCAAACAATCACAAAGAATTCAAGCTCATCTCAAATAGCAAACAACCTCGGTTATCACACCAACCATGTATAACTTAACCATGTTCATCATTTATTGCTTTAATTTTTTTTCAATCAACACTCGGCTACGGCCGTGAAAGTCGAAACTAACCCGCAGGAACAGGAATATCGAACTCATCAACTGTTGCGGAGCATCAAACTCGGAGTCCACACCTTTTTATGTAGCGGGGTGTCGCCTTCCTACGAAAGTTACTTAGAGGCGGATGTACTCTTTTCCTATTAATAAGATTTTTTCCCACAAGGCTTTTCCCTCGGTTGTAAAGAAGTGCCCCCACCAGGCGCGTAAGCTCAGTTGAAGAAAACACTCTCTATCACCTCAAGTGTGACTTTCGCTTCAGAGAGTGGGGGACTCGTGATGGAGTATATTCCCATATACCCAAGGGTATCAACACTTGTGTGTAAGGGATCCCCAGAATCCACTAAGTCATGACCTAAAACCGATTCTCGGATCATCGAGATAAGTCAAACTGCATCTGAGGCCGAGATCAATCCTCTCACCGAGGTTGGCATCAAACCCAACACTGTAGTCGAGCTTAGAGTCAACTGGCACTTCATAAAGTCAAAGAACTAGCAGGAGCATCACCACTTCAATTCGCATATCGAATCGATGTTACCCTCCTTCCAAATAAACACACTACACCCAAGCTCGACTTCTTCTGCAGAGCTCAGGACCTCATGTGAAGATTGTGGACTTGGACATTTCAACACTCAAGTTCCGCATACAACTATGATTATGTCATCCGCTTACAACTATCCAGAGCTTACGCCACTTTGGCGATTTTGCCCAGAAGATTCAAGACTTACACGTGTGGCTTCCTTGCGCATTCCAGTGCAAAAATGACGAATTTCGTTGTACACAATACCAATTAGACTTTACACGGGTCACTGTTTTACTTGATCAATTGTTTTTACTTGTTGCCTAAGTATTTCATTTCACACTATAAATATCATCTTCCAACTTGTGGAAATGGATCACCATTTCTGCGCACAAACATACTGTTATGCTGCTACATTTTCCACTCAATCTATACTTAACACGTATCGGCTCTCTCTTATCCGGTTTTCTCCTACCCTAGGGTCGCCGAAGCCATTAGTTATATTAAGATCCTAGACTACTCCTCGGTTAACGTTCTAGGATGAAATCTCAAGTCATAAAATGCTATTAGAGCCAAATTGATCTATAACCATAGTGTGGGCATATATGAAAAATGACAATAATTATAAAAATAACAATGACAAACCGACAAAAAGAATGAATGACGACACGATCCATTGTCGGAAAAAATAATGTATGACTTGATCCAGATGATGTTTTTGGTTGTGAGGAGGCCGCTGAACATCTGAAGTCACACAACGGAAAATTACGAAGTACTAAAGTACTCCATCCGTCCCATTTAAAAGTTCTCGTCCACAATTCTCCGGTCAATATGCATTGTTCTTAATCTTTTACTTTATATATCCAACTTTTATTAAAATATAATTTTTTTGATCAGGTATTATAGATCTTTTAATGTAGTTTCTGAACATGTATATTTTATTTACTAAAAATAATTCTACTCATGACAAGGATAAGTTAACTTTATGTTCAGTCAAACATCGTAAACCGCGTGGGAACCTGTAAATGGGACAAAGAGAGTACTACTTCTCCTATTAAAATGTCTCCCTCCTATTAAAATAGATCTGAAGGTCTTAATGAATATACCATAATTTGGCGTATATCCGGATTATTGTTTTGAATTGTTGCGCTTTCTATTGAATTGAGGTGCCATATTGCTGTGAAAGTGTAAGATGCTTCTCCACCATGCATTCTACTGAACAATTTGTCGCGCCTTCAATGCCTGCAGACATCTAGTTACTTTGATGATACAATCTTCTTTTTCAATTCAACATCCAAAAATTACTTAAATTGGCATTGAAGAAAATACATTGTAATAGTGATACGTGTCGGTGGGGTAGCTCAACTGGTAAATAAAGGGTGTCACACAGAGTAAGTCTAAAGTTTGAATCACAGTGATTGCGATGAGATGTTACTATGATGGGATGTCATCCTTTTTTGTAAGAGTGATACGTAAATAACTCCATAGCATAATGACATGTATGTAAAAATTAGTGTAGTTAAACGCCCAAAATGATTGAAATACAAACGTAGAGATAAAGTAGGTTTTGTCGCATACGAGAAAAGTTGGCATGCAAACTGATTTGGCAGAACTCATTAATTGAGTTTCCCCAAACTAAAAAACTTGGTATTATATATGATTGTGTTTATTGTCAATGACACAATGTAACACTACTCCGAACAATCATTTCTTGGGGTTTATTTGCTGACACACACAATTGAGAAAGGTTGGGCATTCAAAACTTAATCATGGTCACAGTTGGAGCATTTGTTGCCGCATGTGCTGCCCCCACCATTGCATTTAACCTTGCATTCCCCTGTTTCTGATAAAATCACAAATTCACTCTGAGTCTTCAGCCTGCCGTTCCTCTCAGCAACATCGTTGGATGGCCCTTCAGTATCATCATAGACTTCTTTCTTTTTGAGAATGTCATAGAGTATAAAAGCAGTTACCAATACAGGCATAAGTAACCACTCCTCTTTCACCTATATTCAAAAAATGTATTAATAAGGTAGATAATGGGCATGTGAATAAGGTAAATACACACACACACACACACATATATATATATATATATATATATATATATATAATAAAGATCAAATACAAACCTTTTTTAAAATAGGCTAAAGGGTCAAATAAGTACATGAACTAACTTAAAGTGTTCAATTAGCCCCTTATTTAGGAGGTTCTATTCGGACGTCTCTAATTGGGGCGGTTCCCGATTGAATTTTTTGATGAAATCTTTTGAGCATCTTCTTCATTAAATCTAATTTACCCATATCAAATTTCAGCTAAAATTTAAATCGGGAAGGCAGTCAAATGATTTACCGAAATGTACTGCGTTGTTCAACTGCGCAGTTATCTTCAAAATATCATTTGACTGCCTTCCCGATTGATTTTTTAGCTGAAACTTGGTATGGGTAAACTAGACTTAATGAAGCAGATGCTCAAAAAATTTCATCAAAAAATTACACCGGGAACCGCTCCAATGGGCGACGTCCGAGCAGAACCTCCTATATAAGGGGCTAATTGAACACTTTAAGTTAGTTAATGTACCTCTTGACCCTTTAGCCTTTAAAATACAAACTACAAACTCATCTTGACCATCTGATGAGTTGATCTAAAGGCTATAAAGGCAAGGTGACATTTTTGTAATATATAAAAGCCAACTTTTTTAGGATGCAACTCTTTGAATGTTAATATGCAACTGCTATTTTATGGCTGAATAATATGCAACATTTTGAACTTCAATATGCAATACAAATAACATAAAGATGTATCATACAAACGTTTGCACGATAAGCACAGTTTGACAAGATTCATCCCCTATACGTGTGTGTGTGTATAAATTCAATTATATACTAATCCAAAATGATAAAAAATATTTACATTGACTACACCAGAATTGAAGTCGATCATAGCCACTGCCTTGCCATATGGGTGTTCAGCTGAGAACTCTATTGCGGTCATGAATTTATTTTGAGTTCTTTCCTTCTCACAATTCTTGAGGTGATAATCTAGCTTCCAACCAGGGAAATACTTGATCTGTTTCATGAATTAAAGTCATATTATTATCTGTATATACACACATACATGGTGCAACATCCAGTATTATACTCACCGCCTGAGAAGCTCCTATCATCTTCAAAAGGTGACCATCATCTTTATCATCATCTATGAGCTTTGGAAAACAAATAGACCACTCAGCATTTATCAGTGACCATTTTGTCCCTCTCAACTCACCCAAACTAAATATATCTCCAAATTTAGTTAGAGCAATGACTTCTCCCTTTGAGATAGAATCTAACTTTCCCTTGGATTCACTGTATGTAACGAAAACCATATAAATATTCAAAATATGTGTATGTGTGTATATATCACCAATTAATTTCAATCCAGAAGTGAATTTTTACTCAAGAATATTAATGAAGCTAAAAATAAAGGTTTGATGCTGGTTTTAAGAAAATAAAGGATGAAGTGGGAGGGTATTATTATTGGAGCTCCATGGCTCACTCATAAGTTCAAACATCAAATTCCCATTAGGTTCACATTGAAAGCAAGTAACCAAATATTCCCCATCATTGGTCACATTAGTCATTTGCGATGGCGATGAAATGTCAAGTCTTCCCTTCCCATGGAAGATTCGATCTGGCCCTTCCTTACCGAATGCTACAAACAACCTCCTCCCCTCCTCCTCTGGTTCATTCTTTAAACCAACAAACTCCAACATTACCTACAATACATTATTCGTTTTAAATATGGGAAAATCCTCGAAATAGGAGTAAAAAGTTTGAAAATTCCAAAATAGGGATGACATGTTTTTATAGTCTGGTGCTGCCAAAAATTGACAAAAGTTAGTCCTATTTTAGAAATAAAAATGTGATAGTCCTATTTTGGAATATACAAATGTTTTTAGTCTTAATTAAGGTATAATTTCCCTTAATACTTATAAATCGTGACTATAAAATGTCAAAAAAAGAGACATGCATGTAAAGGCTAGAGGTGAACTTATATATATAGTGATTTATTACGTTATACCTCCATAACCTCCTCGGTTTTGGGAAGACGTAACAGTCCTACATCTTTACTGCTGATGTTTTTGTTTACTACAGTGTTATGGTGAGAGAGGGCTTGATGATAATCTTCAAGAGGTAACAATGAATTGCTTCGGTACATCTTAGCATTTCTCCAATATCTACGACCATATGTTTCTTCCCAAATATTTGTTGTCATAGAGAACCCTAGTTCCAACTTACTCTTTTCCTCTCTGTCATTGTGCCCCACAACCTTGCCAAGAAGTTTCGTAAGGTCTTTGCAGTAGGAAACGGGATGTAACTGATGAGTGTGCCATATCAGATCAATATCTCGAGTTGGTACACTACTGAAGTTTTCCTCATTTCTTTTGATTAGATGCAAGAACCCTTTGTATCTACCCACAGCCCCTTCAAGGTAACGTTCGCTGTACATTAGCGGTCTTGATACCTACATGCATGAATGATTGATTCTAGTGTCACAAGTTTGTACATACATATATATATATATATATATATATATATATATATATATATATATATATATATATATATATATATATAACAAATTAGATTTAATAATGCTCAACATCTCGTGTTAGCAAATACTACGTATCAAAGTAGAAGTGTTGCAATAAAAAAACTATTTCTTTGACTTCCCTTATAAGTTTACATTTTTCATTTTTTTCCCTTTGCACAAAAATCTCAACTACACTCTTTTCTTTCATATTCATCGGACGGGTTAAATTTGGAAAAATTTCAAAGGACGGGAGAATCAGAGTAAAAATAAACGAAATAAATATAGGATATTTATTAGAGAGATTAATTCAAATAAAAAGAGTAACATATCAAATGCACTCCTAAGCTACTTGCATATGACGTGTGCATGCATACTTCCATATGGTATAGTACACATAACACATTTATGCATACTTCCATCATATGCAAGTTGGCCTCACATTAATGACATCATGTGTCTCATGGTGCTGTTTAGCAATTGAAATAGGTCACCTCTTGATTCGATCCATACAAAATATGTAGATATGTGTACACTTACTCTTATACTACCGTATGAAATACTCTCTCCCTTCCTAATTGGTTACACATTACATAGGTAGTACGGAGTAATATATTTAAGAAAATTGCTCAAAATAGTAAAAAAAACATAGGCTAAATTCTAAAATAGGACTAATACGTGCTCTTCCTAAAGTATTACCTATTTAATCCTAGTAAAAGGATAACATAATAAAAAAAATGAAAATAGAGGCGAATGACTCCGGCCTTTTTCATAAATTAAAATGTTGACACTCTTATTTGAGGAACTATTTCTTAAATAGGATTGAAACATACTCCATAAATAAAGTGTACATATAGGACAAATATTGTTTTATTCCTAAAAAACGATTCATCTAATTCTAGTTGAGAAAGTCTTAAACTTTTCATGTTTTCATAGAACCAAAATAAATTTCATCTAAGGAGCAAAACTTAACATACATACTTTTATTTGTTCACTTTTTCTATGTTTTACTCCTACTTGGATCGAAGCAATTTCTTTTTATCCAAAAGTGCCTTTAATTACCTTCATGAAAAAAGAACTTTGCCTCTTCACTGCTGAAACCAAGTCATAGTCGCTGCTCCTGCCCTTTATATGTTGATCAGATATTTGTGAAGGTTCATGGAGAGAAAGAGCTCTCTCTACGTCCAACTCAAATGGTTCACTTGGATACAATTGTTTCCACACTCTTTTTGTTTCTCCTTTGGGCATTCCTTTAGTAGAAGAAACCACATGATTGTTATCAAGAATATTTCCATATAGCATCTTGCAGTCAGAGATGTATCGTAGCTGCAACGAATTAGTGGCAATACATATTTAATTATCAAAAGTAATTACTCTCTCCGTCTTGAAAAGGTTTGTTAAATTGTTTTTCTTGGTCAATTGTAATCAACTTTAACGAATGATATTTTTTAATACGAAATTATTTTGAATATGAAATATATATCAAAATGTTTCTTACTCAAATTATTTTCATGAGAGTATAAAATTTATAAATTATATACAAATATAATAATTAAAATCATTTTCCAAAGTTTATCATCATTAACCAATAAAAGTACTACGTACTATGTATCAAATAATGACTAGTTTAATTAAAATTAAAAAATGAGAACTCGTTTGGTTAGATTGACTGAATTTGTTGAATCTGAATCATCATGAAAATATATAATACCTCTGTCCCAGAATGATGGTCCTGTATTTCCTATATGGGTTGTCCGAAAATGATAGTTATGTTTCTCTTTTTGATAAAGAAATTAAAGTAGATTATCATTTATATCCCTTATTTTTAATGAACAGTAAAAGTAAAAGGATGAACAATACAATAAAGTAAGGTTATATTGGTCCTTCTAACACTCTTTCTTACGGAGTAATATTTGAGCCCAAAAAGTATATATGGGACCATCAATTTGGAACAGAGAGAATACATACTATAAGGATAAAAACTTAAATAGCCATGTTTAACCATTTCAATTAGAAATTTAAAATTGACTTTGCTTTTCTTCATTAACTAACGTCCAATTCATCTCATGACAATACAAATTGAAGTATTCTAGTGTTGAGTAAAATGTGATTGTAAGTCTGTTAAACCAGAAAATATGATCACCCGACATTTTATATAAGACATTGCTTCTTTGTTTATGAATTAATGTGAATATATAACATCCATGACTAGAAACGTACTGGATTGAGCCTGTGGCAATGCCAGACCCATTCACAATCAAGAGGAACAATTAGGGGAGCTTCAAAGAAGGGAGATTCAGAATGTTTTGCTAGCAATGGAAGCCAATATGAATTGTACCTGAAATCGATCAGCATGCTACACGTTCATAAGGTCTATCAACTTGTAAACTAATTTAATTTAACTTGTAGATTTGACTATCGAGTAACAAAAGAATTGTACTCAGCAACAAATCCAACTAACGAACTACCAATAATAACGAATATCAACGTAACATAGTCACTATGTATGGAAGCATGTTGACATGATAAGAAGTGAAGATGATCTTATCTCAATTAACGAACTACCGATTCTGGGCCGGTTCCGGTCCTCAAATCGGCCAATCCTTGAAAAATCTTTATATGAATCGGGACTGGGGTCTATGATACCGGAATTCGGTCCCATCTCTGTTTATTCTTTTAATTCAAAACGTACAAAAAGGAGTACTAAAAGACACCGCGCATATACGCAGAGATAGACTCAGAATCGAGACAACACCGGCCAATTTTGTTCCCCATATTTGAAACGCGGGACAAATACTCTATATTTCCCGAACCGGTAATTAATTAAATTAAAGTTCTGACCCGGAACCGCGGACCAAATCTGTAAAAAACTGGACGGTTCCGATATGGTCCGAGGACATACGGATTTGTGTCCTCTTACATTATATTGCAATATTATTTTACGAAAAAAGGTTATTATCGGTGGGCGTAGCTCAACTGGTAACGAGAGAGTGCCACAAGGGTTAGGTCCCAGGTTCGAATCTCGGTAACTGTGATGAGAGGTGATTATGCTAAATGCTAGGGCCTCTGCAAATACCAGGGACAGAGTCTCACTCTTTGTTTGTCAGATTGGGATTATAATCCAACTTACATCCTCCCAATGTACCGTCCGGTCGGGATGGGGGGGGCATCCTTTTTTTTTACGAAAAAAGGTTATGACATCACATAGCCGAGTTGGTAAAAACTATAAATTATTAGCCGGGTTATCCTCTTGAGGTCATGTCATACAACATTTGTTCAACTAACATTGGGACATGATAGGTGACACGATAATTAATAAAGTGAGTTTAGGAGATTGATATTGAGATGATAAAATAAGAATAATGTATGAATGATTTAGAACAACACAAATTTTACTAAATTTAGTATGAGAAAATCTTAGTAGGACTGATCGAAACAGACTAATGACACAATCTTACTGGACAGAGGGAGTAATAACTAGTTCAATCTTGTGTTTAACAATTAATTAAATTCACCTCGAGATTTTATTATTTCCTGTAATTTGGCATCTTATCAATCTAATATTTATTTCATTTAACTTCAAATAATGATATAATTGTCAAAATTAATGAACGTAAAAATATTCATCATCATCGTATATATAATTATAGGCTAGAGAGTAGAGACCCTATATTTGTCGAAATAAAAGTTGAACTAAATAGGACTAAATGAAAACTTAATTTTACAAATAGGATTAAAGTCTAAATCATTCACAAATAGGACTAAACATTAATTTTCTACCCTAAATACCCCTAAAAGTATTAATTCATAATGAAATGTTTTAAATCACAATAAAATTGTAAAAAATTATAAAAATTATAAAAATAATACAATACCTACAAAAAATTCAAAGATAATAAAAAGTAGTAAAAACTCATAAAAAATGGGTGTCTTTCCCACCGCATCCCAATTTTTTATTTTTGTTAATGCTTTTTTCCATTTTTTATTTTTTTAAATTTATCCTCCCTCTGCATTTTAATGTTCATTACATTAGCTTGGACACATTATTTAAGAAGTAAAGTAGCAGGGGTAGTAAATAATGTAGAAAACGTAGGAGAGAGTGTGTAAAAGTATGAAAGAGAAGATAAAAAGTAGATAAAGTAAGGGTAGTTGAGTATTTTCTAAAGGGTAAACTTACCAAAAATAAAAATGTAAGGACCTTTTAAATAATCTCAAAAAGGGAAAGTGTAAGGAACTTTTAAATACAGAGGGAGTATTTTTTTTCTTTAATTTTCTAGTTTATTAATTTTATTAATTATTTATTTTAGTCCAAAGAGCTATGGAGATATATTTGTCCAAACACACATAATTAGTCCTAATACGGAATTTAAAACAATATAGTCCTATTTGTGTTTTTATTCATATATAAGTAATTCACTCCTTGTTGAAACTAAAGTACTTAAAGCAGGGAATTACTAGTATCAAATAACAATCACTGAATCACGTCTTGTATTGATGAAGATACAAGTGTTTTCACTTATCTTCTAAGAGAGCATATTCTAGATAATTATATTTATCAAATAAGGATCATTGTATGTTCATTTATATAAACTTGAATATTAACAGATGTTTGATTGTCCCGATCAGCTCTATATTCTCAATAACACTTCGGTTATTCTATTATTTCATCATTCAATTCTCAATAAAACCTTTCATTTTTTCATTTTATTCATTTATCTAACATTTAATATGTAAGTTGGTATTGGTCCACCTCTGTTTGTATATGGTCTGCCTCATTAATACCTTGGTCTCCTAATTAATGAGTCTGGCCCAACTCTATTGCCTACCCGACCAAGCCCATTCGCCTCCCCTTGTCTTTACCCAGCCCATGACTCATTGTGATCCTCTCTTATATTGTCTTGTTCCTTCTGGAACCTCCTATTTCATCGACCTTTCCCTCTCTCTAAGCGATGAGAAGCCTAGACAGTTACCCTAGTTCTAGAGTGAGAGAGTGTCGGTATCACTGTAGGTTTAGCTCCGGCTATCCTCCGGTGAGACTTTGGGGACTTTTGTGGGCTTCACTCTGTGCTGGTATTTGGGGGTTCTTCTCCGGTGGGTTCTCTGGGTGTCTGGTCTGAGGGGTTAGGCTCCTGAACTGAGCGTTTGAGCCTGTTGCCCTTTCGGTTTCCCTTGTTGACTCCTTGGTGGTGAATGGTGAGCTAGCCATTGGGCTATCATGATTGAGGTCTGAGCCGGTCCAGAAACTCTACAGTGGTATCGGAGCTGGATGTTGTCACTTCTCGCCGACGCCGGAGACTCACCGGAAGTGCCTCTCCAAACCTGGTAACGCCTCGGCTTCCCCTCGCGATTGGTAAGTCGGATTGTCTGATCTAGACACCCGCTTAGGTATAATAGCTTAAACCCTACCTTGGGCTGCCGGAGTGCCACCAGCATCTGTGTTGCATTGGTAGATATCTTAAACCCTAGGTTTTAGATCTACCGGTTAGAAACCCTAGATCCTTTGTTGCATGTGCAGAATCTGTCTAGACAGATCTACATAAACCCTAGGGTTGTTGAACTCGTGCATGGGAAGTGCCAATCTGTGTCGAACTTGGCCCACCACTATCTGTGTGATTATCTGAACATCTTTGTGATTCTTGCTTGCTTTCTGGCCCTTTTGTTATATGTGACCCTATCTTCTTCCAGCATACTTATTTACCTGTGTTTTAGGTTTCTAATCCATTGTAATACTTTGGCTGTAAAACCCTAGGTGGCTAAGACACTTGAGGTTAGGGCTAGGGGATTCCCTGGCAGCCACCTCAGTGGCCCCGGATCTGCGTGGTCCCTTAGTCCGCAGCCTAACCTTCTAGGGCTAAGCTTCTGCATTACATTTGGCTCATTAATTGTGTGGGTTTATTGTTTACCAAGACTTCTAATATGTATGGTATGCTGCCCTTTAATGGTAAATCTGATTTTGATATCTGGAAACAAAAGATAAAATGTGTACTTATCCAACAAAAGGTGTATAGAGTTGTTACTGGTCAGTTTTTAGAATCTAAGGATAAACCTAAGCAAGTTGAAATGAATGAAACAGCCTGTTCAACTATATACCTAAACCTGTCTAACCCTGTCCTTAGAAAAATAGGGATCATTGAGTCTGCCAAAGCCCTCTGGGATAAACTTGAGTCCACATATACAGACACTTCTCTTCGTGGTAAAAAAATAAGATGTCGTGTTTTTAATTTTTGCCATAATTTTACTCCTATTTGGGGTAATTTCTGTAACTTTTAATACTACGTATAAAGTTCAAGATATTTATATTACATACGTAAGTGTGGGGTGTTCTTCACACAATACCACTTCAAAGTTTGAAATATTTGAATTATTTTTCCCTTACTTCAATTGTACCCAAATTTCCGATTTGGTTTAATTTATTAGACTCGATTGTGTTATGATAAACGTATGGTACAATTGGAGTATTGTTTAAGTCTTGTCATCAAGTCTGATTTGAGGAAGTAGAAGCATATAATATATACATTAGAAATTACTCCAAATAGGATTAAAACTATGGCAAAAACTCAAAATAGGACTTCCTATGTTTTTCTTTTCAAAATAGAACCAAATTAGTCCTATTGGAAACATACCTATTTTTTCCTTCCATTCTTACCCTTCCTTTAAATATGTGTTAATTAAATGTTTAATTCATAATAAATTCAAAAAAATTCAAAAATTCGTAGAAAAATAAATAAAAAATTTATAAAATATTTATAAAATAAAAAATTTAAAAAAATAATTTTTTTGATTTTTTTTATTTTTTTAAAAAATTAATAAAAAATAGTAAAAATCCATTAAAAAATTAAAAAAAATATGGATGTCTTTCTCACCGCCTGTACTACCTCCCTGCACCACCATCTCTGGACGGTGAAAAATGCCATATTTTCTAAAAACTGCCATTTTTTCCTGAAAATGCCAAAAACATGGCATATTTCTCTTTGAGAATGCCAACATTTTCATTATTTTCTGCCATAAATATAGCATTCGTAATGAACTTGGCATTTTTTTCCCGGTGACTGGAGGTGGTGGTGCAGAGGCGGCAGAGGCGGCGGTGAATTTTATTTTATTTTTTTGAGTTTTTTTATTTTTTTTTAATTTTTTTTTAATTTTTTAATTTTTTGAAAAAAATAAATTAAATAATTATTATTATCGAAATATTTTTATTAGTTTTTTAGTATTTTTTACGAATTTTTTATTATTTTTTATTATTTTATTATGAATTAAAACATTTCAATAGCTAGAAGGGTATATTTGTCCAAGACACGCATAATTAGTCCTATGAAAACATAGTTTAGTTTTTGGTCCTATTTATGTAAAGTGATTGACTTTTAGTCCTATTTTGATAATTAACCCTATATACATATATACAGAGTAGTACATACCTAGTGATGGCCTTATCAAGACCAGGGCCTTCATAGAGTCTCTTTCTCCCTTCTCCCTCTTATTAGATCGAGCATTCCTTCTCCATACCCCAAAGCAGAGTAATTGCATCTCACCTTCTCCCCGTAGATCTGCTGCGTTGCCTACAACGGTTTCGATCAATGACGCCCAGAAAATAGAGTTGTTGCTTGGCTGCAGCCACAAGGTCTAGGCTTACCACAATTTTTTGTGCCTCGTCCCACTCCATCTGTTGTTCCATCTCCATTCCCTAGCTGAGAGGGTTTACATGCGATTAGGCACGTACTATCAGTGGCAGATTTACAATTCAGGTTTTCAGTGTTCATTTTTTTGTACGATTAAAACTTGAAAAAACAATAAATAATTAAATTAAATTTATATATGTATGCTAGTATGCTTTTCAAACTTTAGGTGTTCACTTGAACACCTTTGAATTGTGATGGCTCCGCCAATGCGTACTACAAGTTATTACATGCATGCATGACTAGTGGTGTATCCAGAAATTTCTCTTAGTAGGATGAACTCACATTATTTATCTCACATTTTTAGACAAGAAATTTTATATATAGATGAATTATCAATCCGGGACTCGAAAAATGAAATGTAATTGTATAGGATTCGAATGATGGAAAATTATCAATTTAGAACCTAACATTTTATAGGTTTTAATTTATTTAATTTTTTATTAATTCTATTGCTAATTTTTGATAAATTTTTTCCTTCACGAAAGTTTATTAATTTAATAAAACTAAAAAATATTTAAATTTTTAAAATAAAAATAATAATAAATTCATGACAAGTTAAGTCCTAGATTGATAGTTTTCAATCATTCAGGTCCCAAATTGATAGTTTTTTATCATTCGGGTCCTATATCGATACATTTCAACTTTCAAATCCATTTTCATTTATCCCAGTGTCGCAAAGGCGCCCACCTACGGTGGGGTAAAGGGGGGTCGGATGTACGCAGTCTTACCCCTGTACTAAAGCACAGAGAGACTGTTTCCGGATGACCCATAGTGAAAATCCCGTCCAAAATTGCATGGACTGAAAATTCATATATCTTAATAACAAGTATTTGTGGAACAAAATACGGAGTATTACAATATCATAATTTAAAATTCAATGAAAGATAAAATTTTACTTTACTAAAAATAAATTTTGATCAAATAGTATGCATTTTTTTCAAAATTGTGGTAACAATAAGAATTAAATAAGGAATGAATCAAATATGTTTTTGGGTTAATTTAAGTTAGCAAATTCACAAGTTTATAAAAAAAAGTAGTTCAAATAAACCACTCAGCGGCAGTAGCTCTTTGGTCTTATAGTGTCATTAATGTATAAAATATGGTTCATTAATGCCTATTTATAATGTAAAATTTTACATTTATATATAGAGAGAGGGAGAGGGGGATTATCCTGTCCAGCCGGAGGGACAACACCCTCCGTCCAGCCACCACTGTTTGGGCGGTTCCCAGTGGAATTGTTTTATGAGACTTTTTGAGCATGTTCCTAATCAAGTATAGTTTATCTACAAAAATGTTTAGCTCATAATACGATCGGGAAGGCAGTCAAATAAATTTTTGAAGATAACTTTGTCAAAATATACATATAAATGAAATTATTTTCCAAAATTCATTTGACTGTCTTCCAGATTGAATTTTTAGCTGAAAGTTTTTGTGGACAAACTAGACTTGATGTACACCTTCACAAAACCGAGCCGGGCCGTCCGGCCGCCCGTCCCGCCCAGCCTGCCCGCACAAATGAGCAGGCTTGGGCATATATATTTACCCACTGGGCCGGCCCGTGCCCGGCCTGCAATAAGATATGGGCGGGCTTGGGTTAGGGTGTAGGCCCGTTCGGGATGATAAGCCCGCCCCGCTACATTTAGTATATATATAAATATAGGTTTTGGTTCAAATAAGAACATGATCTTAGGAGAGAAATGATAATGAATCTGGTCTGTTAGATTTGATTTAAGTGAAATTCGATCAGTGTGTATTAGATGAAACTGTAATGTGCATTAGGTGAAATTGAAATGTGCATCACAAAAGGTACGATACAGTGGCATTATGTGAAGTTGAATTGTGCATTAGGTGAAACTGAAATGTGCACCAGGTGAAACAATAATGTGTAAAATAAAAGGTACGATGTGATGTTATTTTTGTACCTTTTATTTCGCACATTTCAGTTTCACCTAATACATGCTCGAGTTTAAATTTTTATTCTGCACATTTTAATATCATCTCATGCACATTTCAGTTTCATCAAATACACAATTCAGTTCCACATAATATAATCCAACGGTCCAAATTCATTATCATTTCTCTCCCGGAGTCCGTTCTTACTTGAACCGCTCCCTATATATATACTAATTTATTTATTTATTTATTTACATATACACATTGATGGAGTATATGGGTCTGAGCCCCAGGACCCACATACTCAGAAGAACAGAAAGCGCAAGACACTGAGTGGTGCCCTCGTCGGCCAAGGGACCCCTGTCGGCCGGAAAGGTACCAACTCAGAATATGGTCCTGAAGCCAAGGAACTCGGGTGCCCTCATCGGCCGTGCCCTCGTCGGCCGTGCCCTCGTCGGCCACGCCCTCGTCGGCCACGAAGACCTCACATAACCGGATTTTACACTTACTCATTTGTACAGCCCATTAGTGGCTTTGTATTCGGCCCAGTAGCGGTCCAGTTGTAAATGGGCCTCCCAAGCCCAAGGCTTGGGAGCCCAGTCCGTATTTTCCCTATAAATACTTCCTCTGGAGGTAGTTATCAGGGTTACCAAATCATTCTATTGAAGCATATTATTGCACTTCTCTCTCTAGCTCTCACTTCTCTCTAGATATACTCTATCACACATGTATATTTGTATTTACTAATTTTTCTATATACATATTTATAGTTTATTGTGTTTAAATTTAAATTTTTAGTTCTTAACAACTAGCCAAACCAATATAATATCCTTTTTTGTACTTAAAGATAATACTTTGTTCTTACATTTTAAATTTTAGATATAGTTTCTCATTATCATTTGTGTGTATGTATTTTTTTGTATGTGGTGAAAGACCTATAAACATAATAAATGTACTAACAATTTTTTAAATGTTGTAATATTAGTTTTAAGGGGAAAATAATTTAAATACTCCAAACTTTGAATGAGTGTGAGGTAAGCACCCGAAACTTACATGTGTAATATATACACCCCGTACTTTACATAAAAGTTATGCTAGCACCATTATAATATGTATTTTTTATTCATAAATGTAAACTTATGGTGTTAAGCACATGGTTTAATTAAAATACTTAAACATTTATAGAGGTGTAGTTAAAGCATCATAAATTTACATTGTGAAAAAAAAACATATGTGCATGCTATTAATATTAGTTTTCATATAAAGTTGAGGGTATAAATATTACATACTCCCTCCGTTCCTATTATAACTTCCAACTTTCCTTTTTCGTCCGTTCCAATTAAAACTTCTACTTTCCCTTTTTGGTAAAGAATTTGTGGTTCACAACATTTCTTACACATTTCTCTCTCTTTTGCACAACTCTCCACCACACAATACCCACTATCTTAAATTGTGTGCCAAACCTATTTGGATGTTATAATAGGAACGGAGGTATTATGAAAGTTTGGGGTGTTTAGTTCACACCTCTTCAAAGTTTGGAGTATTTAAATTATTTCCACCTATTTTTAAAGTATTACAAAAATCATATAATTTTGAAAAGATTAGTTTTCCCGGGCCTAGTGGCCCGATGGAATACACGGCTCGCTCTTACGGACGGGTATGAATATGGGGTTAGGCCCGTTTTTGCAGATCGGGCCAGGCCCGCCCACACATGATGGGCATAAAGTTTATAAAAAGCCCGGTCTCACTTGATGAATGACATGCTCAAAAAAATTCATCACAGTTTTATACCGGAAACCGCCCCAAACGGCGGCGTCCGGACCGGTCCTATCCCTCCGGCTGGACAAGATCTTTTTCCTGCACACACACACACACACATGAGAGAGAGAGAGAAATGATCCTTTCCATCAGCTTTCTGTCTAAACTCCGTCCAAACACCGCCGTTTGGGGTGGTTTACGGTGGAATTTTTTGATGAAATGTTTTGAGCATGTTTCTCATCAATTCTAGTTTATCCATACCAAATTTCAGCTCAAAATTCGACCGGGAAGGCAGTCAAATAATATGTTGAAGTTAACTGCGCCAAATTATACATAGAAAAATGCAGTTAACTTCAACAAATTATTTGACTGTCTTCCCGGTCGAATTTTGAGCTGAAATTTCGTATGGATTAACTAGACTTGATGAGTAACATGCTCAAAAATTTCATCAAAATAATCCACCAGGAACCACCCCAAACGGGCAACGGCGGTGTTTGGACGGCGTTCGGACAGAAAGCTGCTAGACAGGATCACTTCTCTCTCTCTCATATATATATATATATATATATATATATATATATATATATATATATATATATATATATATATATATATATATATATATTAGAGATCAAATACAAACTATGCTTAAAATACTAACCTACAAACTCAATGATATGCATCACTTTGAACTTCGATATGCAGTAAAAATAATGTAAAGATTCAGGGGTGGCATCACATACAAACTAGTCCCCCCATTCAAATTATTTTTACATTATTTGTATTGCACATTGAAGTTCAAAGTGTTTCATATTATTCAAGCCATAAAATAGCAGTTTCATATTTACATTATTTGTATTGCATATTAAAATTCAAGGAGTGAATCTTTACATTATTTGTACTGCATATTGAAGTTCAAAGTGTTGCATATTATTGGGTTTGTAGGTTAGTAAGTTGAGCATGGTTTGTATGTGATCTCACCCCTATATATATATATATATATATATATATATATATATATATATATATATATATATATATATATATATATATATATATATAGGGAGCGGATCAGGTGACAAGTACCCTTAGGCTGAGAAGCTGCGAAGTCTAACTTATAACTAAAAGTACAAACTTTTAACCAATAAATCATAACTTATAGACCCTCTCGAAAATAATTACAAAAATGCAACCGCGTCCAAATAACTCCTGAAACCTGGAATATTTTTTGGCGCGGTGGCATTTTCGTAATTAAGATGGAGAGCTTTATAAGTTATGATTTATTGGTTATAAGTTACTATATTAAGTCTATAAGTTTGCTGCGTAGTAAGATTAGATGCAAATCCAAGGGCTGAGATTACTTCTCATCTTAAGGATGACTTCTCACCTGATCTTCTCTCTCTCTCTCTCTCTCTCTATATATATATATATATATATATATATATATATATATATGGGGACAATAAAGTAACTTATATAACAGAAATCATAACTTATAAATCCAACAACATTAAATCGAAAGTATAATTTTATAGTGATAAATTGAGGAAGTATGAGATTACAATGAAAAACACTAGTAGTAGTTAAAAAATATTTACAAAAAAATATTTTTCAAAAAGATATTTATTTATTTACCAAGACATCTATGTCCTAATAAACTATTAATACGTTAAACATAACTTATAAAGCCAAATGTTTATTTTTTACAGCTTTTTAAATTACTTCGCAGTTCTCAGCCTAAACACACTTTTCACCTGATCCGCTCCCTATATATATATAAGAACTTATAGACTAAATATAGGAACTTTTAACCAATAAATCATAACTTATAGACGCCTCGAAAAACTTATAGACTAAATATTTAACTTTTTTTGAAATAAAAATAATAATAAATTCATGAATACTTAGGTCTTAAATTGATAGTTTTCAATCATTCAGGTCCTAAATTGATAGATTTTTAGCATTCGGTCCTATATCGATACATTTCATCTTTCAGATCCCGAATCAAAAATTCATCTATCTAAATAACAAATACTCGTGGAACAAAATATTACGATATCATAATTTAAAATTCAACGAAAGATAAAATTTCACTTTACTAAAAATAATTTTTGATCAAATAGTATGCACTTTTTTTCAAAATTATGGTAACAATAAGAATCAAATAAGGAATGAAGCAAATATGTTTTTGGATTAATTTAAGTTAGCAAATTCACAAGTTTATAAAAAATAAATATACATTAAGCATAACAATGTAATAATTGTAATTATATTAAAGTAGTTCAAACAAGCCAAAATTTGAATTCAACTATTGTAAAGTCATTAATGCATATTCACAATGTAAAATTTATATTTAATATATATATACATATACATATATATGTATATATGTAAAATGTATGTGTATATATATATATATATATACAGAGAGAGAGAGAGAGAGTATTCTTCCGGTCAGGAATTCTTGACCGGAATCGCCGTCCGAACGGCAACATTTGACATGTTTTTCATCAAGACTAGTTTATCCACAAAAATGTTCAGCTAAAAATTCAATTGGGAATGCCGTCAAATGAATTTTGGAAGATAACTGCAGCCAAAATATACATATAAAACGCAGTTAACTTCAAAAAATCATTTGACGGCCTTCCGGATTGACGTTTTTGCTGAAATTTGTGTGTGTATAAACTAGAGTTGATGAAGAACATTCCCTAAAAATTTCATCAAAAAATTCCACCGGGAAGAGGCCGAAACGGCGCCGTCGGGACGGCGGGTTCCCGTCCGGAATTCCGGACATGAAGATTTCTCTCTCTCTCTCTCTCTCTCTCTCTATATATATATATATATATATATATATATATATATATATATATAAATGATCCCGTCTAGCACTCCGCTCGAACGCCGCCGTTTGGGGAAGTTCCTGGTGGAATTTTTTGATGAAATTTTTTGAGCATGTCCTCGTCAAGTCTAGTTTGTTCACAAAAAAATTTACCTCAAAATTCGATCAGGAATACAGTCAAATTATTTTTTGAAATTGACTGCGTTTCGGACGAGAACCGCCCCAAACGGCGGTTTTCGGATGACATTCGGACAGGACACTACTGGATAGGATCATTTATATAGAGAGAAAGAGCGGAACAGCCAAAGAGGAATTAGGGAGGAACTTACTGGTCTGGTGATGGAGCAGAAATGAGTGATTAATTATGACGGTTGCGTTCCTTGCTAACTTCAATTATTAATTGGAGTAATAGATATTTGTTGGAAATGAGATGGGTGGTATTTATAGCTAATTAAATACGGAGTAATATGCAGCCCTTGCACCGCCATCGATTCACAATTAAATTCATTTTCTTTTTTTAATGCTCTAAAGTCTAAAGTAACAAACTACACATACAAATTTGAATTAGTCAATCTGCTTTTAGCTGAGTTTATGGTGTATTAGTCATTTAGGCGCCATCTAAGCACCTTTATTATTTTATTCTTGTAGCTTAGTTATTTTCAAAAAAGAAAATTCAGAGGCGGGCCGTCCAATCACACAACAATATGACCAATTTAGGCGCCGTATAAGCATTTTTTAAATAAAAAATTGGCTTTTATATTAAAATCTTGAAAAAAATACAAGATAACGTTTAGACAGTTAGACAGTTATGACATATTTGATTGTGACCCTTGGGTATAACTTCGAAATCAGTCACTTCATACAAAACAACCTGATTCGCTAGACACGATATGAACAATTCAAAGTCTAAAACGATCGGAATTGAAATACTGCATATCAGACGTACTTCAGAAGTCCAACTGTCCAAGTTTCTAAACCTAACCTACTCAAACTAAAATAAAAACAAGTATTATTAATGAAAAAATAAAATTGAAATAAAATTTTTCCACAAAATCTTTCATGACATGAAGGTGATTCTAGAAGAGGACGAACTCCATCAATGTCTTTGCACTCTAAATGAAGACAGACAGAAACTCTTGATCGGACAAAGCTAGGCGGGACACCAATATAACTCTCCACATTGAGAGAGACAAACCACCCATTGATCAAATATGTGTGGACGTTATCTTGTACTTTTTGTAGATTTTAATATAAAAGCCAATTTTTTATTTAAAAATATTGCTTATATGGCGCCTAAATTGTGATACCCTGATCAAATATGTCAGGACGTTATTTTTGTAGATTTTAATATAAAAGCCAATTTTTTATTTAAAAAAATGCTTGAATGGCGCCTAAATTGGTGATATTGTTCGTGTGATTGGACGGCCCGCATCTGAGTTTTCTTTTTTGAAAATGGCTACAAGAATAAAATAAAGGTGCTTAAATGGCGCCTAAATCACTAATACACCATAATCTCAGCTAAAAGCAGATTTACTAATTCAAAATTATTCCTTTAATCATGTTCACATTTCACTGGAATCCTAATTATAATGTACCATTACAATTTACTATATGAGTTTGGGTAAAATGAATAAGCACCGGCTAATTCTATTAACAATACTCCTAAATTACTTTCAAAACTAAAATAAAAACAAGTTGATGGAGTATATGGCCCGGGAACCCCCGGCCCACAGACTCCTACTACTCCAGCGAAGGTCCAACAGGCCCAGAAGGCCCAGCAGGCCCAAATCACAGCGCCCAGAGTACCAAGCAGCCCGCACTACGCGCCAGGGGTGCCTTCGGCCCCCTGGCCGAAGGCTCTAAATTCTCACAGAACGGGTTTCTCAAGCAAAATAAGAAACCGGGAGAAAACGGCGAAAACAGTAGCCCTCGGCACTGTGAGCCCTCGGCACCAGGGTGCCATCGGGTGGAAGAGCCCTCGGCTACTGCTCTATAGCCGAAGGCATCTCACTCGACAAGATATCCGCCTCACATGCGTACAGATCACCGTACCCCGCACAGACGTCCCATCCAACAACCGCATTAAATGCGGCCACATGCGGCTGCCAGCGCCAACCGGTTGAGGTGACCCCTCGGCCAATGAGCGCTTGACACGTGTCCCTGCCCGGCATTTATTGCTACTATAAATAGCACCCCATTTCCTCATTTGTAACCACGCTGAAAACGGCATTCATACTGAATACACTCTCTCTCTACATTTACTTACTTGCTCTGACTTCTCTCTAAGTTATTCCCCGTAATAACCCTTCGGATATATACCCCCGGGTAGACTATCCATCATTTGGTACTCTCGTTGAGAGGTCGAACAATCAAGTAAGAAACCCTCCCCCTCGATCAAACGCAAAACACTAGCCCTCCATCAAAATGGTGAGGACAACACGTGCCAACTCAAAGAACGTAGAAGACAAGAACCTGGCCCTCGGCGACGTCAACGCCCCCGAAGCCTCTCACAGGGCTCCCGAGGGCGGTGTCATCGCCGGGCTGGAACAGGCGGCTGTCGACCTACGCCTTCAGATCCAACAAAATGCCCCCGATGCCCGCCTCGGCATCGAGGCCAAGAAGAAAAACCGGTGCGATGACCAAGGCAGCCCTCCGGTTCTCACCATTGACGTGCAATCGGCGCTCTCTGCCTTCATCCAAACGCTCACCCAGAACCCGGGTGCCTTCGGCACCCTGGCTCCAGCTCACCCTTAGGTTGGGGGAAACATCATACTTCCCCCTCTGCCACACCCCTTCGGAAATCCCACCCCTCGGGTGAGGAACGACGAGGGGGTGGTGGCCCAAGATACGTCCTCCCAGGAAGTTCAGTCCCGGGACCGCCATAATGACAACAGGGAAAGGCCCCGTACTTCCGCCCTCAACCGGCTCAGAGGAGGGCCAGACCGCCGAGGGGTCCAAGACCGCCTCGGGGGGAAAGCACTCCAAAGGCCCCAGGAAAGCGGGGGATCTGTTTCGAGGGCAGACGAGGAGCGTCCCCCTCGGGACAAAGGCAAGGCACCCCTTCATGCCGATGATGCTCGGCACCAAATCAACCAGGCCCACTCGGCCCGGGTTCGTTCGCAGGGGGCGGAGACCTTCCTGAAGGATCCCCGGGACGAGATTATTGCGGCCCTCCAACGCCGGCTTGACGAGATGGAGTCCAACAAAGCTCACGCCACCACCTCCACCCCTCATTCAGATCTCAAATACGAGGCCATGATGGCCAAAATGGAGGAGTTACAGAAGAAGGTGGCCGAGGGCTCCGGGGAACCCGTCATCCAGCTCCGGACTCGGACGCCATTTACCCCAAGGGTATTGGCGGCCCGGATCCCGGAAAAATACCGAGGGCAACATATACAGCCCTACAACGGAAAAACGGACCCCCAGGAACATTACAGCAAGTACCAGAACAGCATGATGATGGTAGGGGCGTCGGACGAATATTTGTGTCGTTGGTTCCTCTCCACCTTAGAGGGGCCGGCATACGAATGGTTCAACAGGCTGCCCGAGGGCTGTATTGATTCATGGCAAGAACTCGCCCAGCGATTCTTGACACAATTTGCCGGGAGGCGTCGCACAAGGAAGCACTTCTCCCACCTCCTAACAATACGCCAGAAGAGGGATGAGACCCTTCGGGACTTCCTACAGCGCTGGAGGACGGAGGCCGACAAGGTCGACGGTGCTGATGACGGGACCCTCCTGGCCCTCCTACAAACCGTCCTCCGCACCGGCAACTTTTCAAGGAGCCTCATCATTGAACCCCCCCGCGACTACATAAGGGCTTTGCAGCGGGGGGACCGATATGCTGAGGCCGAGGAGGTGGAGAAGTATCACCAGCATCCGGACCAGCAGCCCCCGAGGGCTGACAACAAGCATAACCGAGAGCCGGGGGCTCCTCCAAATCACCCCAAGACTTCGGGACCCTCTGATGACCGCCCTCGGCAAGGCCAAGCCAAGCCCGGGGGAGGTTATAAGAGCAACCCTAAGACTTGGGCACAGCCCATTCTCCTGGACCGCCCTCGGACACCATTGACGCACCCCGTCAGCATCATCCTCGATTTTGCCGAGGAGAGGGGCCTCGTTGAGCGCGACTCTCGCGCACCCCCGGAGGTACACGCTATCAACCCTCAGTTCCCCTACTGTCGCTTCCATCGGCACCAGGGGCACAGGACCGATGACTGCCATCAGCTAAAGACGGCCATCGAGAGGTTAATACAAGCAGGGCACCTGTCCCAATTTGTTCAGAGCCCTCGGCAGGAGGGACCTTCTCATCAGGGGCCTCCCCGAGGGCACCACACGAAGGTAAATGCTTGGGTAAACCCGAATACCATCCCCCTCGGCAAGAAGAGGGAGATTGGAAACTTGGAAGAAGAGGAGGAATACCCCCACTACCAGGAGAAAAAATGCCACATCCTCATGATCACCGGTGGCAATACAGGGGGCTCAATCGCTTTACGTGGGGGAAGTCACTCATATGCCCCCGGTAAAGCGACTGAGGGAGGAACCCATCACCTTCACCAACGCAGATCTCCCTCCTACTTCTTCTCCTCACATGGATGCCTTGGTGATTCGGACGGAGATAAACGACACCATCATTCACCGAACTTACATTGACATGGGCAGCTCCGTCAATGTAATGTACCTCAGCACCTTCAGAGAGCTGCATCTGGAGAGGGGGTCCCTTCGGCCCATTAAGACCCCTCTTGCCGGCTTCACCGGCGATACTATTGATTCCGAGGGGGTAATAACCCTCCCGGTGATCTTCGGCGACGGGCTCCATAGAGCCCAGCTCGAAGTGGAGTTCGTCGTCGTCAACATTGACTGCGCCCACAACATCATCCTCGGCCGGCCAGCCCTCGAGGACCTCGAAGCCATCATCTCCATGAGGCACCTCTGCCTCAAGTTTCCCGCCGAGGGGGGCATTGGCTACTCCCGGGGGAACCAGAAAATTGCCCGCGCCTGCTATCTTCAGGTCACTAAGAAGGTAAGTAAGACGGAATTCCGTGTTGACACCATCACCGGAGCCATCGACCAAGAGGAAAGAAGGCCGAGGGCTGAACCGGCCGAGGACGTAGAAGACTTCGCGCTCGATCCGGCCCAGCCGGAGAGAGTCGTGAAGATTGGAGCCCAGCTCCCTGAAGATTTGAAGACCGGTATCACCGACTCCCTCCGCGCCTACTCCACTGTCTTTGCATGGGGGTCGGAGGACATGCCGGGAATCAGCCGAAGGGTCATCACCCTCCGCCTCTCGGTGGACCCCTCGGCAAAAGCAGTACAACAACGAAGGAGACCCCTCTCCGCAGAGAGGAGGGAATTCGTGAAGAAGGAGGTCGCCATGCTCCTCTCAATTAAGCA